TGGGCCCAGATATGAGTGCCGCAAAGCTAAAATAAGATTTGCATTTTTTAGTTTTGTGACACTTATACAAATTTTTGTCAGTGCTAAATAACAATTCTCGGGATAGGTGATCAATTTCTATGATCTATTGAGGTGCGTAAGATAAGGTAGACATTATCGATACAAATTAGTAATCCAAAAAATTTTTCCGGGCTGAGCATTAGGGTATATTACTTTTTTTTACTTTTTTTATAACGTAAATTTTCTAACCTTAAATATAAGTTCTAAATCAAACTATATTCTATTTCCACTTGCAACATACATAATAAAATGTAAGGCTTTTACAATTATTTCTTTGTATATTGTTTACTGTAGATTCTAATTTAATTTTAATGGTGGGTAGGTTCGTGAGTTTATGATTTCAACACTGGATAGTTCATGATTTCGATAGTGTATGAGTTTACGATTTTAGTAGCAGGCGGATTATTGATTTTAATAGTATGTGGATTCGTGATTTCAATAGTGGGCAGGTTAGTGATTTTAGCTGTAGACAGGTTCATGATTTCGATAGTGGGTAGGTTCATGATCTCGGCAGTAGCAATGGAAGGTTCGTGATTTCAATAGTAGATAGGTTAGTGATTTCAACAGTAAGTAGGTTAGTGATTTCAACAGTAAGTAGGTTAGCGATTTTAACAATGGCAGATTCAAGATTCAATAGTGTGTGGGTTTATGATTTTATAGGGGTGGATTCATAATTTCAACAGTAGAACGGGTTTGTCTTTCAAACAGTGGGCGGATTCATGATTCCAATAGTGGGCAGATTTGTGCTAACATTCGTCATTCTGACATTGGGAAGGATCATGTTTCTGATAGTGAGTTAATAAATTTTCTTCATATTTATCTAAGTTAATGCGAACTAAATAAATTGAATAATGAATAATACGAATCCAAATAGCTTATTAAGCAAATAAATTGATAAATTTCTTTATAATCACTAAATTAAAGCGAACAAAATAAAAATAATTATTAAATATCCGTGAATTTTGCAACTTATTCTAACCAAAAAGGGAGAAAATATCTAAACGTCACCGTCACGTGAATCCACCAAATTTTAATAATAGACAAGGGATCGATACCCATCTATTTAACTAAATAAGAAACAAATAGCCTACTCTAAATATCTCAATTGTAAATAAAATCTATTAATCAATATAAATAAAAAGAAATTCTCTGCTTAATTTAAATACCTCGAATGCTAACTTAGAAATAAACTGCTTATCTTGATTTATTAAATGATCGTTATTGACTAAGTTGACATGAATAGTAATTATAGGATTAGCTAGGATTAGCGAACTATTTCTACTCCAAATTAGAGGCTTGCACGGGCCGGGCCGAAATTTGAAAATTTTAAAAACCTCCAAAATTGCGGTCTGGTGTGTTAAGAACATAGTAAATTGTGGGCCGAACTTTTAAAAAACATAGTAAATTTTATTTTGCGGGCCGTGCAAGTACAAATTTTTAGGCCCGTGCAAGGGCTCTACTCCAAATCATGCAATGTCTGTTGACAACATCCAATCAAATTTCTGGATTAGACTACACATCTTTCTGCATATTTCATAAAAAAAAAAGAAAGAAACGCTCGGACACTTATCAGATTCTGATACGTATCTTGTTTATCGTTATATGATTAATTACTTCAGAACTTGTAATTATCAGATGACTGACTTTGGGGGAGGCTATATTTACGTAATAAGTGTCAGTCCCTTAGGAAATTTATCTCCAGTAATGGTGTGACTAATCTTTGTCCAAATATTGATATTTGCGTTAATACGCGAAAACTTAATAATTTGCCATTTCGCATAATGCCGGTTATTAATCTACAAGTTGCAGAAATATCACTATTTACGTCACTTAGTTATGTCATAGTACAGGTTACTCTCGTTAATATCAACCTATTTAAATTGGAATTTTGATATATTAAAGTTGATATATATGAGGGAATTTTGATATATAAAAATTTATAAAAGTTTGGTTTGTGGCTTAGGTTGATATTAACAAGGTTGATATTAATGGGGTAACCTGTATATGATTCTTGCATTACTTGAATGTGTGCCAGGTTTATAACGCAGCACAAATTCGTTCATGCTAGAGTTAGAGTCAGTGTTATGGTCTAGAGAAGAATAGTTTGTTAGAGCACCAAAAGTTGTTTCTTATATAGAATTTTGAGAAGTAAGCGAAACGAACATTTGTGTTACATCGCACCTGATCTTGAAATCTGATTCGTAATTCCAGTAAATCTGCGCCACAAACCTGGCACACATTCGAGGGCTTAAAATATTCCCACACGAAAATTTCTTGTTGGTTCAAAAAAATGTTCGAAAATTTCTTGTACACACAGCCATGAATAACGAAAATAGTGAAAATGATGGAACCAACGCAAGTAAGAAAGTTGACAGTTTTTCATTTGAATAAAAATAATATAAAAGTATATTCAACTCTGAGTTCATGGCAGAAGAGAGAATATCATGGGTTGCGTAGTAGTCAAGAAAAAGCCGCGCATTTGAAAGCAATTCGTAGTGAGAGTAACAAAGGAGTATGTATAACTTACAAAGTCATCGGTGATTTTTCGTAGTTTTTTATACTAATGATATAAAATCAATTCCAACAGCTTTGGGTATGTTGGTTGCTATACTTCTGGGAAAATATGTTCTTCCACTGTTGTATGGGTTCAACCTTAATGGTATAATTGCATATTTAGATCATGAGGCAGAAATTAAGAATCTACGAAAAGACCTTATTTAGATGAAGAAGCAGAAATTAAAAATCTGCGAAAAGATCTCATTTCAATGCAATTGCATATCGTGACAAACTATTATACAACGCATAAACGACTTGGAAAATTAAAGAAGACGAAATAATTATTAAAGGCGATGGTAAAGTTAAAATTTATTATAATAGGTTGGTGTAGATCAATTGCCCGGGTAACTTATTTATATGGTTTAAAGTACTTTTTGAGAACGTGACGTTTCACTAACAAAGATTCATCGCAAACATCATTAATAGCTTTAAAAGAACGCTATCCTTCACAGCACAAAAGAATCCCCCCAAAATCCCCAAACTGACAAACTTTACTTAGACGGCAAAGTATTCTACCATTTATTTGAGCAATACCAAATTATACTGTATAATGGGGTAACCAGAAGCGTTTCTATTTAAAACTACCTGAGTACGTTAGGTTTAAATAAACTTTTTTATCGCTAACTATTTAATTTAAATAGGAATAATCTTATAGTAGAAAGAGATCTGGGTTTAATACTTGAATATGTTCTGTTTTTGTAACTTGTTTGAGGTTTTTCAATTGTAATGAGCGTCGAGTTTATTCACAATAAATACCACTTTAACACCACTTTACAAGTATCCAGCTATTCTTTAAATATATGGTTCTTTCGTATATTTAATAATTTATAAATTTCTTCATATGAAATTTTTTTTGTTTCTTAGCCGTTAGTTATTATATTAAAGCGAACGAATCTGTAATTTTATTGGTTAATCATCACGGGTGATCATGTGTAGATCTATAAAAATCGACCAATCAGACGAATTTCTTCCTATGAGGTTCAACCTATTTTATTTTCGGGTTTATTTCTGAAGGCATTGACTTTTGCTTGCTGATAGTGTTAGCAGTATTAATCAGAATTGCTGTTGCTGAAACGAAAATTTGAAACAATGCTTATAATAATCCAAATGCGTGTGATCAAGGTTTTTTTCTGTTATCAGCTTTTCTCTAATTGTTCAACATTCAATGTTTAGACATAATGATACAAAAGTAACATTTTTGATGCATCAATAGTTAATTTCTTATATTGTCACATCAAAAATGTAATATTGAAAATTCATGTCTGTCTACATATATAACTATACTAATATCAGTTCACGTCCTTACGTCCGTGCTAAGATAAAAGCAGTGATAGCCATCTGAATTTATCTTCTCTGGTATTACTATAAAATTTTCACCCCACGAAAAATTCTTTATGCTTAGATAGCGTCTAGATTAGTGAATGGATTTAGGCAGGAAAACCTGTTGCGCAAAAGTGGGCTTTTACGCAAATGCTCGAGAAATAAGTGATTTTTGACAAACAAGAAATTAGAAATTTTTCTGATCATGTCTGTGATCTGCATGTTGTGTTACCGACACATGTTACCCGGTCCAACAATAAATTAAACTGACCAATCAGATTGCTTTAAGAGCGAGGCGGACAGACATACATTAAAATTTTGATCTTATTATAGCAAAAACATGACAAGTTTTTATTATAGGATTCTGACACACAATGCTATGTATTAGTCTAGTAAAAAAAAAACTATCGTTATAAGGATATTTGCCAAGAACCAGGCTTGATGATACTGATGTTTGTGAATCAGCCAGGGTCGTCCCCAAAGTTCGGGTCGATTACTACCGCAGCACTTCGGTATTTTTTTTCGTTTAAAATCTTAACATTGCCCGAATTTTACCACAGTAGGGTATTATGATACCTACTGTAAAGTTTGGACAATGTTAATATGGAGTTGAGTCAATAGAAATCAAGTAAATTTTTTCTAAGTAAATTTTTTTAAAACTTTAACCAACAATAACTCAACAAAAACTTGATCAAATTTAATAAAAAATTTTTTAAATAAATTTTACAAACTTATAAAATTGATTTAAAAAAAAATTTTATTAAATTTAATCAAGTTTTTGTTAAGTATTAGTATTTGAAGTTTTAAAAAAAAATTCAATAAAAATAACTCACCCATATTTTGAATAAAAAAAAATACCGAGGTGCTGTAACAGTAATCGACCCGAACTTTGGGGGTGACCCTGGCTGATTCGATGTTTGTAGCCGACTCTAATTTATCGACTTGACTAAGTGATATTTAAAAATCGACTTAGCAGGATATAGGCAAACTTTCTCGTGATTGGTCAATTTTATTCAATTGAATTTATACAGATTAGAGTACTTTTACCCCCTAACATAGTAAATTTTTTTTATAATACTACAGAAGACTCTTCACAAACGAAGCTTTAAGTATCTTGAGTATCTCTGAGATTCACTCTACCCGCGTAGACTTAACTTAGAAACGATTTATAAGCTAGGAAAATAGTAATGTACAATAAATATAAGCGTTTAAGTTTCTAATTGCAAAAAATAAGTTAACTAATTCGAAAAAAAAGCTTTAAAGCGATAATAACTTCGTGACAATATTATTTATTAAAACAGATTATAAACATTCGAAGCTTTATTTAGATATGGAGAAATCGTTTGGTAACTAGTTTTATATTTCGAGATCTTGAAATTAATAAGTTCAAAGTTGGAATTTTTGGTATTATTTAAGAACGCAATAAAAATTTTATATATTTATTTTATTTTTATTTTTTTTTAAATAGTAAATAGGTTCCACTTCATTCACTCGTGGTCTACATTTAAGATAACTTTATTATATATATAGAAGATTATGATTTCGTTGTTTGGCATTTAAAGAAGAAACTTTATTTATCACAATTTTATATAACGATGGATATATATAATACCTTTCTTGTCTGAATTAATTTGTATTAAATCGTTTTTAGCTTACATTGAGTTGTCACGTATTATATCATATAAATGTAAGGTTTTTAGTTATATAGTGTAAAATTATCGTTATACCTGTATATCGTTTATAACAAATGATTGGCCAATTTGCACATGATCTGCAAAGTAACCAATCATGGCATGATATTTAATTTGTGATCAACCAATCACGAGAAAGTCTGCCGCAAGCTAAGTCGAAGTCGATCGTTCTAATTGGTTAATCTCAAAAACGGGATTTAACGCACTTATACGGCGATCTAAGTTTAGTGAAACATGCTTTTACTATTTTACTTTTACTGGTTGTTTAGCTAATTACAGACTCAATTTTTAGCGAAGAAATGGCTAAAAAAAGATTATTTACAGCATCACAATATGGTCTTGGTCTTTATGTGCTATAGTAGAGCAAAGCAGAGCAGATCAAACCAGACCGGTCGGGAGCACTG